CCCCGCCCCCCCCGCCCCGGGGCTGCCGGAGCCTGGAGCGGCTGCGGGCAGGACGGAGGGGGCTCAGCCCGGTGCTCTCGGTCGTGTCCGGGACCCACGGAGGGGTGCCCGCTCCCCACCCCTCAGCCCCGCACCCTGCTGCTAATTAAGCCATTAACGCCGTGACTCAGCTGGAGGCCCCCCGGGGGGGGCGGGAGGTGCGGGGCTCCCCCGGAGCGAGGGGGGCTCCGGTAGCCTCGGTCCCGGCGTCTCCCCACCCGATGACCCACTCGTGAGTGACCAGCGGGGTGCCTGGTTGTGGCTTTGCTTTATCGGCTCCTTTAACAACGGTAGCAATTAACAGGAAAGTTTTTCCTCTGGGCTCTGGGCTTTTATCCAGCTGCATTGAAGCGCGCTATAAATCCTGGGGCTTCTTGAGGGAGCCTTTGCTCTCAAAGGAGCCCGGGGCCAAGGCTGGACGTGCAGCGGGGTGCTCAGAGCGATGGGGGGGGTTCTGGCTATGGGAGGGATGGAGGGGGCTGCCCCATCACTTCTCTGCCTCTCCCTTGCAGGATGGACCTCCCTGACCCCACAAGTCCTGTCGCCCTCCCCAAGCACATCCTGGACATCTGGGTCATCGTCTTGATCATCCTGGCCACCATCCTCATCATGACAGCACTGGTGCTCTGCCCGGCCACTGCCGTCATCATCTACCGCGTACGAACTCATCCCACACGCAATGGCATCGTGTGAGGCGGAGGCGATGAGGGACGGCTGGCTTGCTGAGCAGGGGGCCACAGCCACGGGACCCTGTGCCGGGGACCCCACAGAGCCTGATGGGGCACCCCGAGAGCTGAGGAGAGATGGGCAGGAGCCGGGGTGGGCCAGCACCCGGGCGCCTGCCCCTGTACCTGGTTCTCGCCGGGTGAACCCACTGCCTCCTATTGACCCACCGAGCTCACGGGGACCGTTGGGGAGATGGTGGCCTTGGCACCAGCGGGGAGATGTGTGACTTTGCGGACGCGTCCAGCTAGAAACGACTCGCTCCCATGAGGCAAGCAGGCTGGTCTCACCTTCGCTGCTGATCCCGTCTCCTCCCAGGCAAGCAGCAAGGAGTGGAAATGCCCAGCAAAGTTATTTCTTCTTTGGAGTCCCAGCTGTGGGGAAAGAAGGGTTAAAGCAAGATGGATGTGACTTTTGGTTGTGCATTTGGAGACTCGGCTAAAAGCATCAGTGACAGAGCCTGTCCTGGCTGCACAGCAGGCGTGCAGCTGGCGTCAGCTTCTCCTCTATCAGATATCTGCTGAAAATGTAGGAAAACCCTATGGAGTGCTCGGTTCCTCTGGGTCTCGTGGGGCAGAGGAGTGTGGGCAGCTCCTGCCAGCCTGCACGCCGGCTGCCCTTGGTGCTCCTGCCGATGGCGAGGGCCCCCAGCACTTGCCCGGCACGCCGGTCCTGTTGGGGGGGGTCTGTGCATCCCTCGCCTGGGCAGGCAAAGCGGGAAGAGCAGAGGGGTTCCTGCCCAGGCAGCGGCAAGGGACCACGTAAGCTCTTACATTGCACCTTGCTACGAAATAAATGGACTTTATTCTACATGTGCGCGTGTCGTGCAGCTCTGTCCGCACTACGGATGGTGTCTGGGTGCCCGTGCGCAGGATCTGAGATACTTTGCAGCCTCTCCAGAAACCCTCCCCGCGCTGACCTCCTGCACCGCCTTGGCTCGAGGTCCCCGGGATTCTTGCCCGGCCTTTGAGCCTGGTGGCCGCAGCCACGCGGACGGCACGCTGCCAGCCCGGCCCCACGCTCCGGGGGTGCAAACCCGAGTCTGGCTGCAATAGCGGCAGCAACCGTCAGACAGCGAGCGGGAAGGATCCCCAGGGACCTTCTGACAGCAGCAACGGCTGCTTTTCTCCCGCTTGGGCAACTGGCAGCGCTCCCCCTCCCTAGAGCCGGGCTCTGGTGTATGGCAGGAGTCTGGGGGCCAAAGCAGCATCCTGGTGACTCACGGCGAGAAAGGTGATGAATAATGAGATGAATCAGGCTGGGATGTAGGGCAAGGCTATGATTGTTTAAATCCCGTTTTCTCTGCTGGAAAGAGCAACCAGCCCCACAGTGTTGGAAACCCTGCATCCCATCCCTGTGCAGCTTGATCCGTGACAGCCAGCATTGGGTTTGCTTTTGGCATCGGGGCCACAGGGGCAGGTGATTCCCAGAGAAGCAGGACCTTGGGCGAACGCTGCCTCCCCGGGGAGGGAGCCCCGCATGGGGATGCAGCCCCCGGGGAGCAGAAACGCCTGCGCTGGGGCTGCGGGCTGCGGTTGTGCCGGGGAGGGGGCGGACGCGTATTTCTTGCCCGGCCCAGAAACAAATTTCTGTTTCAAGCTGTCGTCTCTCTCTCTCCCCTCTCGAGTTGCAGAATTTGAGGCAAATAACCGGTTATTTTCCTGTTGTTCCCCCTCTCTCCCTCCCTTGCTGGCACGGTGCGGCAGCAGCTGGAGGAGATTATGGTTGTGCTGGGTGGGAGCAGCCCCGGCTCTGCTTTCCCCCCGCACTCCACCTCAGCGTCCCTTCCTTGGGGACACTGGGTGTGGGGACGGCCAGCAGCATCTGGCACCAGGAACCGGAGCTGAGCAGCTTTGCTATAAGAGGAATAGGGAAGAAGCCACAAATACTGGAGTGGTTTGAGAAGGAAGCCTGGTTTGGAGCAAAACACCGGAGGAAAAGCATCCAAACCACCCCCGTCCCTGCAGCCGTGCCCGGTGACTGTTCCCACCTCCCTGTGGGAGCAGCCGGGGGGTGCGAGAGTTTTCCTTTCATGGCAGGAGTTTTCTGGGAAGTTTCAAGCCCGTGGCAAACATTTCCAGGAACGGCATTGCAAAGCCTTGGAAAGACAGGTTCGCTCATGACAACAACAAACTGCACAGAGCAGAATGGCAGTGAGGGGAGAGCAGGGAGAAGCGGGGACGTTTTTAAAGCGTGATAATGGGGGGGATGGATTTAGACTGCTGCGCACTGTCGAGTTGGAAATTCCTCCTCCAGGACTGAGCAAGATAAGCAAATCCCCCTGTGGCCCTGGCTTTGGTGCCTGACCAGCGCTGGAGCTCGGAGTCAGTGTTTGCGTGGCGTTTCGCTGAGGAAAAATGCCTTTTCTCGCCTGTTGGGGAGCGGGTCCTGCAGCGGTGACGCTG